ATACATACATACATACATACATACATACATACACACATACATACATACATACATTCATACATACATACATACATACACACATACGTACATACATACGTACATACATACATACGTACATACATACGTACATACATACATACATACATACGTACATACATACATACATACATACATACATACATACATTATATATATATATACATATATTCCGATATTAAAAGGGGGGATCTTCGGCGGTGTTGTCTTCGAGGGAAGGGATTACCTGCGTTTAGTATACCTACCTGCGCAAATCGAGGTCAAGATACTCTTGGAACCGAGAAGTCTTCTTTTGCTTCAAGGCCCGAAGCTGCAACCTCGGGTTTAGGGTATAGGGTTTTAGGGTTTAGGTTTTAGGGGTAGTAAGGAATGGAAAAGAAAATGGAAACTACTACACCCTAAACCCTAAACCCTAAACAACTACTACAGTATTTTTAGTGTTTAGGGTCAGGGGGCTGAGTAAGTTTACCTCTAAACAGCCCCTATAAGCCATGGAAAAAGTCCATTTACTGGGTTGCTGTTAAGGAACTTAATTTAAGTTGCTACCTTGGGGACACCCTATTATTTACTATATATTCCCATTATCGTAACTTAATTTAAGTTCCTTAACAGCAACCCATTTTATCTCCATTCTTAACTCCTTTGCTAAGTCTTCCACCTGACCCTCCAAGAAGTAGCTTTTGCTGAAATCTACGGTTCCCTAAGCTATACTGGAAATTCATATGGCTTTTTTAAACCAGGGCAGTAGTCTTTAAAGGGCGCGTTTGGGGTTTCATGCTGGTTTCAGGGTTATAGTATAGTATAGCATAGTATAGTAGGTATAGTATAGTATCAATTCTATTTGGAATGTTAAGGCCCCTACATTGCCATCATTACGCGATAAGACCCCATATATCCGAAAGCTCCATTCCAATTATGGTGTTCGCTTTTCTCACCACCCCCTCAATTCCCCATATCCCTGTAGAACTCTAATAGAAAGCCTCAACCCGAATTATTGTGGTAGCCTCTATGTTTTCGTGCATTCCACCTTGGGGTTACAGGCGGGGGAGTTATTCAAGCTCCTACTTCACTCACTTCATTCTTGTCCATTTGATTCTGCACTATCCCGTAACCCTAAATCCTATAAACTCGACGTGTCTAAACACCCTGAAAGTTGCCATTGTACTGTCCATTTTCCTGTAACATTTGGTTCTCCAATATCTGCAGTACTCACTTCCTTCAGCCCCTAAACCCTAGACCCCGACCCTAAACCCTAAAACCGCCAAATCTCTGTGTTGACCTCCTTATGACAGCCCTGCGAACCTATACCCCAAACCCAAATTACTAAACCGGCCCTAATCCCTAAACCCTAATTCCTAAACTCTAATCCCTAAACCCTAATTCCTAAACCCTAAGTCCTAAGCCCTAAACCCTTAGCCTTGCCAGAGCGGAGGCGAAAGCCGTTACGAATACCGGCATGGCATTCGCCGATCGAAGCTTGCGGGAGCCTTGGAGTTGAAGGTCAGCACAGAAATTTTAGGTTTAGGGCTTAGGGTGGAAACTACTATAGTATATTGGGTTGAAGTTGGGATAATGGAAAAGAAAATGGAGACTACTATAGTATATTGGGTTTGTATTAGGTTTAGGGTTTAGGGCTTAGGGCTTAGGGTTCAGGGCTTAGGCCTTAGGGTTCAGGGCTTAGGGTTTAGGGTTTAGGGCTTAGGGCTTAGGGTTCAGGGCTTAGGGAACAGGGCTTAGGGTTCAGGGCTTAGGGTTTAGGGCTTGGGGTTGGGGGTTTAGGGTTTAGGGTTCAGGGCTTAGGGTTCAGGGCTTAGGGTTTAGGGCTTGGGGTTGGGGGTTTTGGGTTTTGGGTTTGGGGTTTAAGGTTAAGGTTTAGCGTTTTGGGTTTAGGGTTTGGGGTCGGTTAAGGTGTAGGGTTTGGGGCTTTGGGTTCGAGGTTCAGGGTTTGGGGTTGAGTCCCTTGTTCCTTGGGGGTCATAAGGGTAATATAGGCGTAGGTAGGGGTATATGCAGTGGAGGGCTAAGAGCTCTAAAAAAAGTAGCGGTCCCGTTTATGGAGGTCTCTATATGCAGGGTGCTAGTAATCATATTGATTGGGGTCTGTACTGACACCCCACAGTTACTGGGACCATCATGATATATAGTCCCCCTCAAGTAGACAGAATATGGGGTATATGGGGATCTTATTATGATATACCCAAAGCCATATTCTATCCCTAAACCCTAAACCCTACAATATACCCAAAGTCATACTCTATCTGCTTAATGGAGATTTTTTTCAGGTGCATCCTCAGAGGCTCCCAGATAGGATGCAGACCCTCTGAGAACCCCTGTTGGGGTGTAGGGTTTAGGGTTACAGGGGTGTTAAGGACAAGCATGATTGCGAGTTTTAACAGCAAGCTTCATTCCGTAAAAAACCCGAGATCTAAAGCACCTTGCGCACCCAACTCCTCAGAGCAAGTTTGTGTTGTATTCTTCGGATAGTTGTGCTGAGCTCATTGCGCATCAAACTTAGCAACGCAGACTTCGACATGCAGCGCAGTTCTAAAGAGGTTTGCACAAGGACTCTTTTATCACACCAACAGCCTGCGGCTTGCCGGGTTATACGGTAGTTATACCTACTAGTTGGGGGCAGGCAATTGATTCTAAACTCCAGGGAGTTGTGATTACAGGGAGCCAGCAAGTAGACTATGACTCATTTTCAATTCTCGGCAGGAGTAGTTCGGACCGCCGATCATCTGTTTGTTATGCCTCGCTGTTCTCTCTTGTCTCCGAGGAACTCACGTTAGAATGGAACCCCAGTACTCAACTCCTTTGACTATGAAACATGCCCACCTCCCCCCGCCCAATTCTTCATACTTGCGATAACATCATGGGGGATAGTTAGTAGGGTGGCGTATGTATTACCGTGAAGTGATTGCAGCAAGCTACTTCGCAAGGTAGGCCCCAACAAGCACAGGATACCCACGCTGGGATCTAGCTGCGTCTTAACATGAGGGCTTAGGCGGCTAAGCCAAGTCGGTAAGTCCCTGCAACAAAGCAGCACAGACGGACCAGCAACATCTTGATGATAAGGGCTTTGTACAGCAATAGGATAGGCATCCTCAACCCCATATCCTAAACCCTGAACCTTCACAAGCCGTTGCCCTCTGGGGGCCTCAACAACTAAGGAACCTACACGAGCATCAAGATTCGTTGTTTAGGGGGTCTCCAAGGGGTCCTTTTTATAGGTCCTAAGAAGGCGGGATGCCCATGTTTGTGGTTATGTCTAAGGATGACCGCCATTTCTGGAAATACCGCTCTAGAATTTCCATGCAACTCGTGGAATTATCATCATTGTCTTGTAAAAATCGATCATCAAGCTGCAGGGTAACGGGGCCTGAGAAGCAACTACACAAGCATCAAAGCCTACAAGCCCAAACCCTTAGCGCTAAACCCTGAACCCTACGTAACCCATCACAGTAGTTTCCATTTTCTTTTCCATGACCTAAAGCCTCCCCAAGCCCGACTTAAACAAAAAAATCTGGCCCTATATAGGGGCGACACATAACAAGCTCCCTAAGACCTCCCTGAGGCCTCCCTAAGGTCGCATTTGGTTTGAAAACATGGGCCTGCATATATGGGGTCCCTTTAAGGCTTCCGACTTGGAGGGTCGGGGGAACTTAGTAATTGGTTAATAATGGGCATTACTGGGACTACTACATGGCTGATAGGATTTATAAGTGCACTGACTAAGTCCCCCTGACCCTCCAAGTATAACCTGTCCTATCTAATGAGCACTGCAGGTGCAGCTTGCCGACGGAAAAGTCTTTCGACGGGAAGAAGGTGAGGTTTAGGGTTTAGGGTTTACCCGTAACTCCAACTGCCCACAGTGTTACGAGTTATACCTGCGTACTAATTGACGCGGGAAATTTGAGGCAGGGGGGGCGTGCAAGTGCAGTTGTTGGATTGCGGTCAAGGTTCGCAGTTAAGAGGAGTTTAGGGTTTAGGTGTAATGGAGCAGGATGTCCGAGCCGTTTGTGTTTGTTTGTGGTTTGTCTATTTCGCAGCAGTCAGTATATTGCCATCTTTTTTGCGGTTTGGGGCTTAGGCTTGGCGCTTGACATTTCGTGCTGCATGACATTGCACGGGTCGTGGGCTACTCAGCATTCACTGCAGTCATGTGAGCTGTAGCCTAAACTCCTTAAAGGTGGTTACACTCGGGGATTGTAATCATAGGGGAGTATTAAGGGGGCTACCAGGAATTTAGACCCTAAACCAGAAACTTGTGGGCGTTAGTAAGGGGGGGATACTAGGAGCTTAGATTATAGATAGCTCATGCAGTTTCCCAAAATAAGGGGAACCCAACATAGATTCCAAAGTACTGTCATCCTTATTATGGGGACACGCCATAAAGGGATCCTTGAAGAAATCCCTAAGCCCTGAACCTTAAATCCTAAACCCTAAACGCTACATCCTAAAGCCTAAATCCTAACTCCTGAACCCCAAGTCCTCACCCCTAAATCCTAAACCCAAACTCCAATTAGGGGTTTACCCCCCCCCAAGGAGACCCCAGCGAATGCTCCTGATCAGATTACCGCCGCGTCTCCCTCACATTCCGGGAGCTGCTGCAGAGCCGAAGAACCTGGGTCCTTATTGGATATCAAGTTTACTGGGCTCTAGCAGAACCAACTTTTACATTTTTATGGATACCTGGGCCCAATATCAATAAAAAATACAGTTTTTAATTGTATTTCAACAAGAATCCAGTTTAGGGTTTAGCTTGAAGTGGTCCTTGTCTGATATATGTCTTAAAACTCATCTTTGCTCGATATGAACTTTAGAGCTGATTCAACAAAATCCCAGTCACAAATTTATACTACAGAGTTAATTCATCCCAACAGGGTTTAGGGTTTACCCATTGGTGATATTCAGTGTGTACTTGCGAGTGTAGGGTTTAAGAGTGTAACGGTTTCGGATTAGGGGTTGGGGGTGGAGATTCAGGCTGCCGGCATAGTTAGTGCGTCCTCTGCTTGGGCTCTTCAAAGTTCAGCAGGCTTATTGATGTTACTTGCCGTCACACGAGAGTGAGTTTAAAACCTGCGCATGTAGCTTAGTGGTTTACAGTCCCCCTTAGGTAGATAGAATATGGGGTATATGGGGATCTTGTTATAATATTCCCAAAGCCATGTTCTATCAGCTTAAGGGGGACTATACCCCTAAACCCTAAATAGTAGCTTCCATTTTCTTTTCCAATATCCCAATATAACCCCAATATAACCCTAATAGCTCCTCAATGGGTACCCCAATATACCTATTCTATCTACTTAAGGGGGACTATACTGGTTGTCCTCATTAGCCTTAGGAGGGCACTTCCAGGGGTCTTCGTGGTGGACAGGAAGAGACAGGGAAGGCTGCAATCTGCGAGCATGGGGGGCGGTTAGGGCGATTTTAGGAGGCCAACCGGATACTCGTGGCCTCCGCTAGGAAGACTTAACATATGGGACAGGCCAGTACCGCAAGGTACTGTCTTAGTTTCCATAAATTATTGGACACCAAGATGGACCCCAATATACTATAAAGCTTAATACGTATGTTAGGTAGTGCCAGAAATGGACCTATTTTTTCGCGGCTCCATGTCAAGCAGTTAAAACAGAACAACCTCCTGGCCATTGCCAGGCCTTCTTATATTTCTTGGATATTCAGGCGGTAGCCCTAAACCCTAAACTTTTGTGTTTTGGAGCAGGGAGAGCTACTCTATGCAAGCTCTAGACATCCTTATGTATGCATAGGAGCTGTCGTCTAAATTCCTTAAAAGGGTGGTTATATAGGGAATTATGTAGGGTTTAGGGTTAAGGTAGGGGATTATTACGGGGGGGTTATGAAGGGGATGCTGGGAGTTCAGACTATAGCTCATATGCGCATGCTTGTATACTCAGGCCTTGTGAGGCCGTTTTCGGGGCTGCAAGTAAGACCTGCCGTGCATGGCCATGCAAAACATGATTGCCCACCTTTGCAGGGGAAATAGGTGGGCATATATATATATATATGTATACGTCTATGTATAACAATATGTATATATATATATGAGCAATGGTCAATAC